CATTTAGGCAAATTCGCGGAAACTCTTCAGAAAAAGCTGTGTAGCTATTTAAAAAAACATTTATTAAAAATGAAAAATAAATGTGGTGCATAACGCTGCAGTCAGAGATAAATATACGCTTTCTTTCGGGTGCACCCGTTGTGTTTTGAATCCATTCATCTCTTAAAAAACTTGAACATGATTGTTCTACGATTTTCTACGTGTGGTTCTCTTTAGTAGTTGGTGGCCGCATAGCGGTCGCAGGTCCCTAGTTTTACTTTTTAAATCTATGAAAGCACTCTAGGCTATTCGTGCTGCGAGGGCTATCCATCGAAGAGAGACATGCCCGTAAGTGAGGAGCGATTAAATGTACTACTCATGTAACTACTAAGGTTGCTAGAACAACGCTTCCTCGTTGAATATTGATAATTCGTGATAACATGTGAGTTTTCAGTACCAGGAAAATTCACGCAATCCTATGCATCTTCAAGATGGTAAAAAAGGGGGCATTCGCGCAATCCTATCGCAGCAATTTTTTTCTCCTCAATCGAATTTTATTTAAAGTTCCGAGCATCTTTCGGAAGTTCTGTCCCGGATTGTCTCATCAATCACCAACACCAGTGGACACCGTTGTTACCAGATGCGACCAATCAGGTCCGTTGTTTTTCGATAGGTCGAACCTTTTTGAGAACCACCTCGCGAGGTGGTACCAAAATCACGCAGCAACGTTGCGATTCGTTAGTCACCGAATCGGAAGTTCCGAACTCAAAAAAAATGACAGCTCGAAGGTTTGGCCACAAAAGCAGTACTGAACCTCTAAGTAAAATTCGCCTCTTGTGTTTGATTTTGGTTCGGAAACATGAATCAGAATGTTATTTAATTCGTACACTGAAAAAAAATTCTCGGCGTTTTTACCAAGATCTGTTGGTACGTTTACCATATCACTTTTTTTTACCAATTATTGGTAATTTTACCAAGACAGACTGGTAAGCTTACCTAAAAACCGGTATTTTTACTGCTTTTTCAGGTAAGAATACCACTTTTATTGGTAATAAATTCCCGGTAACTTTGCCATTTTATCTCGGTAATTCTACCACAGTCGATAAAAAATCTCGGTGTTTTTACCAAGATCCAGTAAAATTACCGAGAAAGTTCAATAATGTTACCGAGATTCTCGGTAAAATTACCAATTCCATAAATGGTAATTTTACCAAGAAAAAACTGGGATCAAATAGAACCCTGAATTCTTGGTAATTTTACCCATTTCTTAGTAAATACACCGAGATTTTTTTTCAGTGTACCTTGTCCAGTAGTCCGATATTTTGGACCAACCTGATCCCCTCCGAGGTTAGAGGGTACACGTGTGCCCTGAGCTTTAGTTTCTCATTGAACTTCCGTCAAGCATCCGGACACATACACACGGGTGCACCAAAACGGACGGACTCACTCGGATGTCGATTGGATTGTTGGCAGACTGGTTTACGGGGAGATTATAGACTATTGTGAGTTGTGGTATGGAGCCCAAGTTCAATGGTCACAATGAACTAGTTCGGAGTTCAACACGCGGCCCGAAGGTGTGTCCAGTGCCTGCTGTCTGAGCACCGAGTGGGTTTGCATTGTCAGCTCGAACACCGCTCAAAATTACTCCATCATAAATACTTGTATTACGCTTACAGAAAAATCTCTGGGTGAGATCCTCGCTGGGTTTTGCGTAGTGAAAATAATATATTGATTTTTACTGACGTACTCTTCATTTTCCACGACGAACAATAAAAATGTAAAATGGTCAGCGATGCTCCATTTTTTTTGGTCCGCACCTTTTGCCGGAATTACACGCTGAATTTGGCAGCTGAAAATGGAATTTAACAGTCATCGCTCTACGGCTGCGAAATTTCGCAAATTCGAGTCATTTTCATCCAGATTTGTATAAAATCCACTCGAATAAGTCAGACAAATTCAACATTCTCCGATGTAGTTATTGCTCAGGCATTGGGCCGATGACTTCCACATTCAAGCCATAGGTATATTCAGCTCCCACACATTTGGAGTGTGATTCCGGCTATTGTTTATGTATGGCAAAATTACCTCCGTACAGGTAAAGATCCGGAAAAAGCGATATTTTCGTCCGAAAGGGTAGAGCTTTTCCCTAAAAAGAGTAGACTTCACTTCGCATTCATACCACTGGGGTCACGGCAAAGAAGGTAGGGGTTGTTGAATGTATGGGCATTTCAAATTAAACGTGGTAGTACCCCAATAAGTAAAGTTATACTAACCCAAATGTTGCAGTTCTACCCCAACTTGAGTTGCAGTAGTACCACGCTTAATTGGAATTGCCCATATCATCCAACAAATTGGGGCAGTACCACAAGTTTAGGGAGTAACTTGTAACACTTTTTTCCATGACTCTTTGGCAGGTATAACAATTCGACAATTTAAGTCCGCAACTACGTAAGTATCTCGATTTTTGGCGATTTTGAGTAAGCTGCCTGTAAATCTCTGCTATCAAAGTATTTTAGTCGCAAAAATTCTGGAAGTCACTTAAGTCTTAAGACGCTGAACTCAAAACAAGTATCTCGGAGTTGATTCTAATCTCGTGCCATCGTGCAGCATTGACACGACGCTCTCCGGGAAGAATTGCTAACATTTTAGGATTGAAAATCACGACAAGGAATCAAGCAAATCGAATTATAATAAATAACAACAGCATCCGACGGTGAATTTCCCAAACCATTATAGGTATACCTCGTTTGCGGTGTTTAGAAAGGAGCTTGCACAAAATCCGCCCGTTTTTGGGCTCTCGAAATTAGGGTCCGCGTGTGTATATTTTTACGAAAGACAAGCGCTAGTTCTTGAAAATACACAAGGGTCATCTAGTAATTTCATATTCACACGAACCAATGATGCTAGAAAAAAACTAACTGTATGCCATTGTATTCAGTATATATCCACAGTTTAATTCAAACCCAAGGTTTTCAAAACTGGATCAAAATGCAGGATTAATTGTATCGATTGATTGCAGGATAATTGTAGAAATTTTAATGCAGCGCAGAAAAGTAGGCGTACCGACAAACGGGAGTTTCTTGAGGCATTGAGACATTATCTTTCAAAAATTCGATTATCCTGAACCACACAAGAGTTTGGCGAGGCGGCAAAATGCATGCTGGAATCACTTCAGAGACTATAATGCGGCGCAGAAAAGTAAGCGCACAGACAAACGGAGCCAAACAACATGCAAGGGGACGGACGTGCGTTGATGACGGCGCAGAGATACAACTATTCGTACTTGATGGATGTCCGTGTTGCGTCTGCAAAATTGAAGGCACGATGGCGTGAGACGTGAACGTACAATGCTCTGCTCTATTCTATCAGCAATACTGCAAATGAGGTTTCACTCAGATTCGAGAGAAAAGTTGAAAAATGAGGCCTATTTACGTCTCTGTTGTTCACGCATCCTTTGAAGCACCACTGCAATTAAGACAGATGGGAACGAACACAATATGAAGAAGAACGAGGTAAAAGACCCGCGTTGATGACGGCGCAGAGATACAACTATTCGTGGTTGATGAATGTCCGTGTTGCATCTGCAAAACTGAAGGTACGATGGCGCGAGGCGTGAACTCAAAATGCTCCGTTCTATGCTGCTACTAAGTTTCGCCCAGATTCTATTCGGGAGAAAACTATTGAAACGAAGCTTGAATATGTCTTTCCTAACTCCGGCTGTGTTGACACTCGATTTTTTTTCTGGGTTTCCCCCAATGTAATATCTGACTTATTTTTTAGAGTGTAGTTGTAGACCTGTATCTAAAACTCGTTTGTGCCGGCACTAGGGTATTATAAATAAATAAACATTTGGAAAAATTTAGTTCCCCGGTATTTTTTCCTCTTCCATTAGATCCCTTTAGAGAAGTGAAAAAATGTGAACTTTCTTGGTTGAACGCTTATAGTTTGCCCCAGAGCCCCCCCTTTCGTTCGAACGTTCAAATTTTCCCACCATTCTATTGGGATCTAATGGAATAGGAAAAAATCAGGACCTAAACTTTTTGAACTTTTTTTTATACACCCTAGTGCCTATGCATACGAACTTTAGATACCTATAGGTCTACTAATACCGATTCTCGAATGAATATAACTTTTATTCAAATGTCTCATCGATTTTTTCTTTCAGATTAATTTGGTGACGAATTAAAAATTTGAGAAAAAAAATCGAGTGTCTACGCAGCCGAAGATAGGAAAGACGTATTCTGGCTTCGTTTTATAAGTTTTCTCTCGAATCTGAGCGATACCTGATGACAGCATACAGCGGAGCGGAGCATTGTGCGTTCACGCCTCGCGCCATCGCGCCTTCAGTTTTGCAGATGCAACATGCAACACGGACATCCGTCAACCACGAATAGTTGTATCTCTGCGCCGTCATGCATGCGGATCCTTTCTCTTGCTCTATTTCCGTGTTGTGTCGTGTCGTGTCGTATTGTGTTGTATTGTGTTGTGTTGTGTTGGTTTGCGTCCGTTTGTCTGTGTGTCCTCTTTTCCGCGTTGAATACGCACTGACTGGAGTGACTGCCCCAGGTTTTGTAATGTGATCCGAAATGTTTTCTCTTACTTCCCGCGGGCGTCCTCCTTTCAAATTTTAAAAAAAAATTTATAAAATTTAAAAATTTAAAAATTAATTTTCAAAATTTTTTAAAATTTTTGGGCCTATTCAGGAGTCCTGCCATGGTCCCTTAAGCTCCTACCTCTGGAAGCTCATTACCTCTAAAATTGAGCAGTATAGTTCACGAAATTCTCTCGACCCCAGGATCATTTTTTTGAATAAAGCGCTTGAACGTTTCTTGTTGAGTTGTTGAATGGTGAGTTTTGTCTCTTCATTTGTAGATTGAGGTTATGTTTCTCCATAATGTAAACAACTTTACACGAGGGTCACCTAGTTTTAGAATGAAATGATAATTTGTGCTGTTATTTTATAGGTAGGAAGTTTTTCTATAATTTTAAGTACATTTTTTATCATATCCTCTTGACTGAATGCTCGGTTGCACAGCTGCATCAAGTATTTTCAAAGAGTCCTTAACTAAGAATCTTACCTCAAATTGCTCAGGGTCAGCGAAAGAGTGACATCTTACATCATTCACGTTCTTAGTTCGGTACATAATGATTTTTTTAATTTTTTTTAAACTTTTTCTTAGTCTGAAAGCCATAATAACTCTACACACTGAAATAATTTTAGGATTTTGCCGTTACACTGTGTATGAATCTAGTACCGTGAGTCACATCAGAATATGAGTATGTTTTTTGACAAATTTTATTAGCATCGCAAAATCTTTAGGACAGAGATAGATGCCTTGTTCCCGCTTTATGCATCACCATTTGCTTGAAGCAAACCTCTGACTCATCTTCGACTCAAAAAGCTGCAGCAAATCCAAGTTACCTGAAGAGATTTTAGGACCATGAATCGGGAATAAAATGGTCTGTCACGTTGGTACCATGACCTTATAAGCACCAAGTCAGCTCTTACAAATGCAAGTGAGTCTTCTGCATTCTTTTCAAGCAGGGGTTGATGGAATGAGTAGATTCTAATAAATTATTTGTTTCTGGTGGTATAACAGCAACTCTCTGATGGGCCCTGATGATGCTGGCTAGAGTTATTCATTGTAAGTTGAGACGGTTGCCAATATTTTTGTTGTTAACACTGTCAATTTTACTCTCCGGATTCTAGTAGGGAATGAGAATAATGATCAACTTAATCAGCCAAAAATAACAGGAGCTACCTACTACTCGCTAGTAGGAGCTATTGCTTAATAAGTAAGTAATTGCTCTCTTTTCTTTGCAGGCAATGGTATGATGTTTAGAATTCCAAGTTCTCTCGCACTTATCAAGGAGTGTCTATTTTCCTGTGGTAATTCTTTGCAAATCTCTTCTAAAAGATGTTTATCCACCCCGTAAGTGATCTGACTTTTTGTTGTTTCAATTGCAATTCTTATTAATTTTTTTTTTTTTTTTTTTTTTTTTTTTTTTTTTTTTTTTTTTTTTTTTTTTTTTTCGAAACTTGAGAAAGTTTTTAAAGGGCCTCACAAACTAATTCAGGGCAGTGTCCCAATACAACAGGCGCAACATGCACTTAAATATCTCTCATTGGTGCCATTATAATTGAATTATGGGCCGAAGTTAGCGCTGTAATATGTGCTGTCAGCTACCTAGCTGAAAACGCTGAAACCTAGATTCATACCTAAATCTATTATGAACGACGCAAAGCGCATTCAATTGGATGAAGAAATCTGACCATTCGTATTCAAGTAGGAAAAGCTTGATTCTAAAGTACACAAAGATGTACAGTCCCCATCATAAATGATTTTAAACTTGACAACCATATTGGCCCTAATTATTGAAACATTGATCTCATAATTTTATTGGTGAGATTCGAACACTGACTAATTCTCCGACTTTCAATTTCACCCTTCCATTAATGCCAATGTTTTAAAAATTCCCCTTTTTTTCTTTGTTTTCCTGAGAAACTTTAATTTCAATGTCTTAGATAACCAAGCCTATCACATATTCTCAGAAGGAAAACTTATCAATCTTTCCAGAGGTCTTAGTCATCAGCTGTGGAGATTTTATCAATATTTTAATTTCCTTGTAAAACCTAGAGCACTTTTTTCACCAACATACCTACAAATAGCTTAGCAAGGTCATTCAACTAAAAATTGCTTCAGCAGGCTGAATTAAAATTTTGTGCTAGTCAACTGGATAATACAAAACTAAGGTCGAATGGAGGTATGTAACTGGTTGGTTGTGTCAATGCAATGCGCTCTTTATTAACCCTTCGTCAAGTGAAATTGACAGCAAACTTTCGGAAACTCATGAGGTCGTTGATTGCAGGCATCCGAGCACCCAATTCAGGCCCAATTAAAGCAAAGACTGACAAAACTGATCAATCATATAGCCTCACCTCACCTCAGTCTTGTTCTGTACAATTTACGAGCTTGAAATTACAATAATCTTTCTGTAGGAAGGTGACAAGGATACCAAATGGTAGCTAAATTAAAATATTATTTCTGATGTTTGATGAAATTTCTGTGTGCCTGATTTTTTTCGCTCAATTTTCAGAACATGGAGTTATGTAAAGCCTGGGAAAGTGAGCGAAAGACTGACGGTGCCATCTTACATACCGTTGCCACCTTATGCATTAACGGGTGAAGTTCCAGATTTGAGATTTCTGAACCCACCAATCCGGCATGCAGAAGTGAAGAATGAGGGTCAAATAGGTTTAATGAGACGTAGTTGTAGGCTAGCTCGTTTTGTCCTAGATTCTATTGAAGAAATCATTAGAGTAAGTGTTATTCTTGTATCGTAAGGCTTACTCTCATTTTAGTCTTTGTGTCACAAATAATCTTAAACAACCACAGTGGCGTGGCGTGAATTGCGATGTATCGATTGTTATGCCATTTAAACCTATGGTAAAGAATCGATTATTAAGGTGTTCGCTGCGAACACCCTGTTTATCGATCCTTTTCCGTAGGTTTACATGGCATAACAATCGATATATCGCAATTCACGCCACGCCACTGAAGGAGCCTGATGCAAATATACCAGCCATATATACTCACTAAGCCTCCAGCCAGACAAAAAGGAACACAATGGGCCTGTTGCAAACTTTTGTTAGAACAAAAATGAGAGTTGTTCTTCATAGTTAATGACTCAAAAAATCACCATGAACGCATCGGCAAACTCTGAAATGCACTCCTAACTTAACAATCTGTGTAAGAAATTTGCGTTTTTTTAAACCTCCCGCTTCAAAAAGAATACTATGGCACAGGTGAACATTTTGTTAAAGGAGTCGTTCCATTCAATCCCTGCGCAAGATGGCCAACGCTTCCACGCGGAAATTGAGGAGAGCATGAGGTCAATCTAGGCGGATATGTATCAATGCCAAAAAAATGTGAATGTAAACACGCCGATTGTTATCAGGCGGTTAGAATCATTGTCCAGTCACATGTGTTTTGGCGGATTGGCGTCGGTTATGTTGAATATTGCGTAGTATCCTTGTGAGCAGGGATTGGATGGAATGACTCCTCTAATGAGTTGTTCACCCGTGCCGCAGTATTGTTTTTGAAGCGGGAAGCTTGAAAAAACACAAATTTCTTATGCAAATGGTGAAGTAAGGAGTGCATTTCAGACTTTACCGATGCGCTCATCGTGATTTTTTAAACACTTTCTATGAGTAACACCTCTTATTTTTGCTCTAGCAAAAGTTTGCAACAGGCCCATTAATTGAAAGTTTACAGAAAATCTTAGAAGTTCAGTTAAATACCCTCAAAAACTGACAGTTAATTATTCTGAATAAAAAAATAACTCAGTGCCACTTTGTGAAGTTTTTTGAAGGGCCACTCGCTCAATGCCAAAGAATTCAGCACAGGCTAAATATCAATATTATTCGTAATGATGTTCCGTACGGACTCTTGAGCATAATGAGCCTTTAGAATCAAACTTTTAATGTGTCAATCTGAAGAAAAGCAGGCCCAAAAAGTGAATTTTTTGGTCAGATCACACGAAATGTCTAGAAGCAATGTTTCAACATCCTATCAGTGATGATGCATTTGTTTCCTCATAGGCTAAGATAGTGGAAGAAATCAAATGCCCTTGAATGATAATGACGTACAGCTCAGCTTCCACACTTGCATAGCAACAGTCTCATAGGCATCTTCATTTGAAAGCGTGTGTATTAAGGTTGAAAAATTAACTTTGCAGCTCTGCTTTTCTCAAGATTGACATGTAGAAAGTTTGATTTCAAAAGCTGAATTATCAACTGCAGAAAAAAAAAAAAAATTAAGAGTATTAATTTCTCCTTACAGCAGTTGATAATCTCGCAAGACATTACACTTCCTGCATTTGTTTTCATGTTCGTTTTTAGCCTTGTCTCTGCAATTTTTTCCCCTTGTTTTTCTCCTGTTTCATATGTTTTGCACTGCTTTTTTGTCTCATGTTTGCCCCACTATGAACTAGAAACGGATTGAAAGAATTTGGCTATTCTGACCTTGTCTTAGTAACTAATAAAGTTGTGTTTGTATTTATTTCAGGTAGGAATAACAACAGATGAACTTGACAAATTTGCTCATGAGCTAATAACAGATAATGCAGCTTATCCCTCGCCCCTTAATTACAGAGGGTTTCCTAAGTCTATTTGTACGTCTGTGAATAATGTTGCCTGCCATGGTATTCCTGATGATCGACCTCTCGCTGATGGAGATATTATTAATGTAGATGTGACCGTAAGTAGATGAAGCAATGAAATTGTTTTGAAAAGCCAAGGGTGATCAACATAGAGTGATTGAAAGAGTCAGTAAATTATTCACCTCTAGGTTTATCGATACACATTTCTCAATGGTGTGCGTCACCCTTTGTTCCTGTTTTGCTTAATGTATGATGCAACTGACCTAGTCATAACTATTCCTTTACATTTGAAAAGTCAATTGGCTGGCTAATACCATGCAAGCAAGTGAAACAAAGAAATATTGAACTAGTAGCTCTATTTAACATGACAAAATATAACATGGAAGTACGGGTAAAACAAGCAGAGTGCAGTCTGTAACCCTTCTACTTCTGAAAGGAAGATAGCCTGATCCTAACTTTGAAAATTTGTATCATCTTCAATATATGTCTGGCTAAATCCCTTGGCTCAACTCCCAATGCTTTCATACTAACGGTATGGAAACAATGAATTGTTTTATCATTTTTTCATTTTGTTTTCTGTTTTATTCATTTTTTTGGAGCCCTTAATTTGTGCACTGTAGCCGTATTTGTTAAACCATTTATATGTCAAGTACATAATTTACAAATAGTTGATAGTAAGGAAAATCACGTTGATGTTTTGACCATATACCGACATCGTACATAAATATGGCTGATTAATTTATATTTCATCATTGCTCTCGATGATTTTTTACGGACCTCTACAAGATCTGAGGTTTGAGCTATATTCAGGGCCAATACGTTTGCTGGTCTCTACAGTATGTGCTGCACTTAAAACTACCTCAGAATGACGAATCAATTGCTAACTGCGAAAAATGCATTTCTCAATTGTAATGTTTAAAAAGCTCCGATTATGTTTTGTCTTCTAAAAAAACTGATCAAAATGTTTCCTTCTGACTTAGTGATTTATTTTAGAATGAGTGAAGAAAATGTTTAGAAAACTTCAATTGAAACTGTTGGTTCGTTTTTCTTCCAAAATATTCAACATGCGCTAAGACTTACAATTTTGCAATCTGAAGGTCTGTACTTTTTAATTTCAGCTATTGAGAAGTTACAATTCGATTTTTGTGGGTGAATTTAATAGTTTCATGAATACCAGTCCTTGACAGATGTGCCTTCACATCTGACTCCAACTTTGGTCAAAATTATTTCCTAATTTTGCCAGATGGGGCTCCTGCAGGACCCTTTAAGCCAAAGTCCTAGCAGCCTAAGCTAGTCTGCTACCGTAGACCGATGATTTATTGCAAGTGCAAAGATGGTACGTGGTGCATGCAAGGAAATCAGAATATTGCTCAAGAAGTTTATTTTACAATTTTTGCAACCTGCTCCTGTATCGTACTTGTTATGCTTGTTTTTCATATCTAATCTCTTATCTTCAAATTATAGGTCTATCTCTCTGGATTTCATGGAGATTGCTCGAAGACTTTTCTTGTTGGGAATGTGGACGAGGCAGGAAAGAAGCTAGTTAAAGTAGCAGAAGAAGCTATGATGGCTGGTATTGAAGTCTGCAAACCAGGAGAACACTTTTATAGAATTGGTAATTTATCTGTTTTGATATTATCATTTATTAAAGTAATGTTAATTATATAAGGTAATTTTTGGCTTAATAATACATGGAATGGTCAGCAGACAAAAATTAAGAAAAAGTAACACTCGTGGAAGTTAGAGTGCTTCTTTCCATACTCTCTGAAGTGTGTGAAAAAAATCATATGATTTTTATTAGAATCCTGTATTTGAAGGTCATCAGAAAAAAAGGGACATTTCAGTGAGCATGTGTGCCAAAAAATATCATGTATTTATATTTTCAAGCATGCGGGAAATATGAGATCCTGAATTCTTAGTTATATCAGGAAAGGTACCACCTTTTTTGCAGCGCTTGCGAATTTGCAAACATGTCATTGCAAACAAATTTCATGAATGCAAGTGAGATCTTCATCTCGTAAGAGAATTTTGCAAATACGTAAGATAAGAAATGCAATGAAGCGCTCTAGCTACCAGTGAGAATTTTGTAGTCTCTGACAGATCAAACTATTGAACCCCAACAAAAAATCTCCTGTCAAGTTTCAAGTACTCTGATGAGGTTTTATAACTATTATTGTTATTATTTTTTAGTCCCATTCCATGTTTTAAAGCTATCCTGCAAATTTAGGAAATTTCATTGGAATTTCATAATGACTGTACGAGCCCTAGAGAAACTTGGAAACTTTTCAAACCTACTTCAAATGAAGTGGTTTTTTGAAAAGTTCTTTCTATCTTTTCATCGAATCAGGAAGCTCTGAACTATTTGTCAACATTTTCTGGCAGCATGTATTTATAACCATTTTGGAAAGTTCAAGGGCTCTGAAGTGTTGGCCTATTCTTAACCAGTGTATACTTTTTACCTTTTTGTAAAACTTCTGAAAAATTAGTTTTTAGGAAAGCTTACCCTAGTATCTCGGGTGAGGAGGGAAGAAAAAGTTTCTGTGTGCCCTTGAATAATGTTCCTTGTTGAATCGTTAGACCTTCTCCATTTTTCTAAGGAATTGAACATTTGTTCCAGTGTAGGCAAAGAAGTATCTGACTATGCGTCGGATCATGGCTACACGTCGATAGGAGTCTTTGCCGGGCATGGCATCGGAACATATTTTCACGGACCGCCAGACATTTTTCACATTTGTAAGCATGCTAATGATATTTAATCGTCATAGAATAAGAATAAAATTACTCTGCTGTGTCTTATATCAGGAGCTCTATTTTTTTATTATACCGTATAAGGACTTTAATCGTTGAGCTAATTGACGCATGATTTAATTCGACCTCGCATTTCCTGGATCTAGTATTTAAACGTGCATGTATCAGTAACTTTAAGCACTTCAAAATATTTGAAAAATCTTTCCTTGAGGTTGAAAAAGGTTCTTTGAAGAAGCAGGAGAATTAATTTGGTTACAATATTTTTATATTATTGATTTATTGCCGCCAAATTCCTGGAAAACCGCAACAAGAGCAAAAATCATGAAAGTTTCAGGTTATTTTATGTTCAGTCTCCTGAATTAAAACAAATTGTAACCAAGCTACACAAGTATGTACAAAAGAATTTTCAGGTTGATCGCAATTGTCACATTAACATTGACAAGAAAAATGGAATCATTGAAATATTGTAAACATAGATGGCAGGTCGTCCAACAGCTCTGAGCTAAAGGTACTCAATTTTATCCAATCCATTTTCAGACAACCGCAACACTGCCAAAATGGAGCCTGGTATGACTTTCACGGTTGAGCCCATACTCAGTGAAGGGCAGGCAAACGTCATAATCCTAAATGATGAATGGACAGCAATAACTGAAGATGGATCCAGAACAGCTCAGTTTGAAAATACTATCCTAATCACGGAGGAAGGTTATGAGATCCTGACAAAGCCTTATCCAAAGAGATGAGGCTTTGATTATCAAGCTCATGGCTAAAGGCAAGTAGGTACAGTATATGTACATCAATTTTTTTCGTTACTGATATCAGTTATATCTTGCCCCTTTGTGCTGTGTGACTACAGTGATAGCAGCTACCATTTTCCCCTGAAATCCACGCTTCCACATATTCTTGAAACTTGTGTGCTACCCATGATATAATTCATCAGCCGCAAAATTTAAATAATTTTAGTGCGTGTGTCATCTCTCTCTGTCACATAGACAATGCCCACAGTGGGTTTAAAACAATGTTCCAGGAGTCCTAGGAACTCAAAACGTCCACTGCTAAACTTTCAACCATCACTAGTGCTAACAAATAAAAAAAAATACAAATACTCAGATTTCATAGGTACAGTTTTATTTTGTAAAACTTCTTTGAGATTTTTAAGAGGCTTAATGGGTCAGTTGCGCTGGTCACAAAATTGTATTTTGATGCTTAATTCTTGTAGATTACTAGAAATAATAAGATCTGTTCAAACAGCAACTCTTTCGTTCAATTTTAACAAAGATATTACGCTTTGCAAAGTTGAGTCATCCACCGCGGTAGTAACACCCTAGGTTTCTTCCTCTTTTGTTCGATCAGTGACGCAGAGGATGCAATGGGAAACTTCAACGACACTAAACACAAATAATCTCGAGAAACAGACGGATTCGCACTTCAAGGATCCTCTTATCAGGAGATAAAAAACGAATGAGTTAGCCAGTCAGTCAGTTCACCTTATTTCGCTTATGCTCAATGCTGTTGAAGTTTCGGGTTTCGCCCCCTGCATCACTGATTGAACCAAAAAGGAAAAAACCAAGGGTGTCACTACCGCGGTAAATGATGCCAAAAACCCGACTTATTAAAGTGCAATATCCTTGTTAATATTCTATTATTTTTAGCTTGTTGGCAAGAATAATGCATCTAAACACGATTCTGTGACCAGTGCAACCGACCCACTATAAAGCCGTTTTTCAAAGTGCTTAGTAGTTTTAAAAGGACAAGTGATCTGTCAAGACCTTGCACGGAAAACTAATAAAATTTGGAAATTTGGCACTGACATAATTTCGTTATTGATACTCCATATTTCGGTTTGATACGATGTTCTTCATGATCTTCGGAGATTGAGGAGATTTTAAATGCTGATTTTCTGTGCGCTAATTTTGAGAAAAGCAGCGCTGGAAAGTGAAATTTTTATCCTTTTTTTTTCTCTCTTGCTGACTGGGAAGATAAGATAGATGAAAAAAATCACACTTTTCCAGATGAAAACAGCAGGTGGCTCATTGTCACTGCTCCTGTCCACTTGCACATAGTGACAATTTCACATTTCTACAAGAAAATGCATCTAAGAATGCCGAAAAAAGAACTTTTCAGACTCGCTTTTCTCGGCATTGGCACCTAGAAATGTAGATTTCAAAATCTCTCTGTGCTCAGAAGACTGTAAAGAAAATTGTATCAAATACATTATAAAGAAATTTAGTTGCAGCCAAATTCTTTAGTTTTTCATGCCAGGTCCTTTCTGGAAAACAAGCACTGAAGGCAAATTCCTTGTAAGGAGATGAGGATTCTCAAAGTAGGATTTACATTTATAGGTAACTACAAAGAGTCTTGGGTTGAATTTTCAACCGGACTAAATCACTTACTATTTTAGCTTTGGCCTAATGGTGAACTTTAAAGATGCATCAAAACTTGCGGAGAGCCAAATAGCCTCTACTGGTGCGCAGGGTCAGGTTATATCATGACATTCATCCTTTTCTGTATCAGCCAATCTTTTTGAATTTGGTATTGTACTGGGGTATTAAATGCTAGCTCATTCATCCATGAATTGTGTCCATGCTGTGTGTGAATTCTTATCTATTAATTTTATCCCTGATACCTCTATCTCTTGAAATACTATTCAAGCTCGACCCATGCATATTTTTGATTGCCTGTCAAGTAACTTACCAATTTCCTAAACTTTGAGAAGACTAATGTAGGCAGCAAGTTTTGAAACCCCATTTTCTTGTATATTTTACTTTTTTATAATTTTCAAATGAATGAAACTCTGTGTTTCTAAAAATGTTCACAGTCTGCCTCTCAAGCAGTGAAGGGAAGGTGTTGAAAAAACTAGTTTAAAGTCCTCTTTCTTCTTTATGTATTGTTTTTTACCAGCGTCTCTTCTTGTTTTCCAGGAGTGAAGTTGTTTTGTGTCCAGATGTTACCGCTTTAACTTTCTCTACCGTATTACTCGAGACAATGAACATTTCAACCACCAATGAAGAAGTAACCCTTTCGAAAGGAGTATCGAATGTCTGATAATCAAGTCTCTGAACAATTTAATTCGTCCAGTAAAGTGTAGTCTTGACCGTATGATACAAAATGTAAATATGAACTGTAATAATTTTTTGCCATAGAGAGACCTCGTTCTTCAAGAAAGGAAATGATTTTTATCAGGGCTTTTGTCTGATGTGTGGGGTGGGCCCAATTGTGGGTCCCCTCTTCTCAAATCACAGGAATTTTTGTAATGGAGCCTTATTACTTGTAATTTTCAGGAATTCCGCATTTTTGGACTGCCATAAAAAATGCCTGACAATGTAACCGCCATGTATAATAATAACTTAATTCAGGAAAAGCTGCTACATAGTATAAAAGATTAATTATGAAAAAATGAGTGATGAAACTGGGATGTTTTGTTGTATTTACAACCTTATTTTCCACCTGCTTGGAAATTTCTGGTCGAAAATTAGTTCTTTTTTTTCTTCTATCTCTTCATTGAAAGCGCAGAAAGCGCCCAATTGGAAGGTAAGAGGAAAAAATTGAGGCAGAAATGTTAAGGTACTCACTGCCTAAGGTTTAATAAGGGACAATGGTTGTTAGGTGTCGAAGAGCGGTAAAGGGGGCAATGAAGCAAAATGTATGTATGAACACTTTATATTTTGCAGCAGCTTTCCTTTGAATTAAGTTGTTACTTGACTGTACTCTGAGGCAGATTAAGTTGTTCTTTCTACTGAAATGTACCACATGTACTATCCTCAAGTATTAAAAAAAACCTCAGAAAATTCTGTTGCAAAAATAAAATCTTAGGAGACGATGAAACTGCAGGAACGCGTATCTTAGTTTCGGACATTGCAGACTTCCTGTCTTACTTTAATTTTTAAATGAAGAACTTAACTCAACCTTATCCCTTGAAAATTTACCTAATGCCTCTTCGATCTGAGCGAAGAAATTTTTTTGATATTGTCAAGCAAGTATTGGTTTGTTTTCCATGGATGAAGTAAGATTGAAGTGGAGCTTTTCGAACACAGTGAACTGTATATATTTGTTCCTGAAGTTTCGCCCTTGATTTGTGAGCACACAGTGCTAATTTCAGTGCTTGTAAATTCCCTGCACTAAAATTAAATTGATGCCGAGTTTTTAATAGTTTCTTCTCTAGAATGCCTCTAGCAGGCATTTTGTTGATAGGAACACCGTAAGAAATTGGCCAAAAATAACCGAGAAACCCCTCACTCATGAGCTGACAAATGTTTAACTCCCTAACCAGTTTCACATGGCAAACATTGCTTCTGCCAACTGCCAAGACTCCACTCATCAACTCAATTACTATTGTTACTGTAAAAGTATGCACATGAGAGGCTAAAGTCGGAAAGCGCATACCTTAGATTGGGACGTCGTGAGTCTCTGCTGTATTTTTTCAAAAGTAAACCAATCAACAGTTTCATTGAAATTTTCTGTAAATTTTTTTCACTCATTCTATGAAAATCACACAGAATTACAAGAGAATATGTTAATTAGGTTTCCTTGAAGAAAGTAAAACATACCCAGACATTTTTAATTGCTGCAATTCAGATATGCATTTTTCATTTACCCATTGATATGCTGAGAAGTCTGAAAGAAACTTTACTTTTTAACTTTTGAGTTGCTCTCTACAAATTTTACTGAAACTTGGTGTGTCCTAGTCATCAAATCGAACTCATACTGTTACTGTCCTAGAAGTGAGAAATTAAATCTAGACAGATTTACGAAAGTAGATTTCCAGTATGCAACTTCTGCAATTTCGAAGATGCTGTTTACAAAAAATTGATTTGCCGCTTGCGAAAACGCCCGATGTCCAATTCAATGTTTCAGAATTTGAGTGGATATTTTCTTTGTAGTTTAAAGATACTGGATGGTTTAAGATGTTAAGAATTTAGAACAATTGTATAAATAGTCCCTGAAGTATAATTAAACATTTACAAAGGGAATCGATCTTATTCACGAGTGTCGTGGGGCAAAAGTAACCACTGCAACCATGAAACCCTGTATTTGACAACGGACGGTTTCGCATAAGATGTTAGAGTGTGTATTTGTAAGAATTGTTTCGATTTAGTCATTGAAAAAAATGGTTTTGGGAATAGGATTATTCATGAAGACCTTTTTTTAGGATTTATCAAGACTTGTGGAAAAACTTAACAAAAATTGTATTACAAAGTAGGTTGGTAGTACTTGTGATGGTTTCTAATTGTGTACTTACTTCATGTCAACTTCTAAAAATGGAAAGAGGAATAACTCTGTTTCATAATTTTTAAATTGATAAGAATAAACTGTTATGTTTTTTTTTTTTAATATTTCGTTCACTTCATTTATTTTCTTTACTTTGAAACTTCAGGTATAGGTATGAGTTTTCTGGTGAAGATTTGGACATACTTAACTATTTTTCTCTTTAATATAGGAAGTAGTAGGAAGTAGGTTATATAAATGATCACAATTTCAATTTTAACCCACCTTTTTTTCTTTCTTTTTTTTTAAAAAAAAAATAATATTTAATTGCAGGAGAAAAAGTCGTATTTATTTGTACCAAAATAACTTTATTATCCTATATATTCTTGTATTTTGGTGGTGATACCCATGGGGGAAAAATCACTTTAATGAAATGCAACTGTGCAAATGTGAACATGTGAAATTTTTGGATGTATAAACCAGCAAACATAGCAGCTTGTTTTCAATTGTTGGTGATCATAATTTAAAATCCTTTTTGTGTACCTATTGGAAGACATTTTCATGTTAGGGATGTATCATGGAGAAACTTAAAGCCATTCAGTCCAGAGACAAAAAAGTTATTGTGATTGGACACAAATCATATCAACAAATGAAAATCTTTTATTTTCTACATAGTGTAGTTTAAGAAGAATCTCTATGGGGTGAATCGGAAGTTAGGACTTGAGTTTAGAGGGTGATTCAGGTAGATTTTGATGTGCTACTTAATAATGAAAAAAGGAAAATAAACTGATTTCCTTCCTTAAATTATTTTTCTATGGTTCCCTCTTTCTTATATAATTTATGTGCTTTTATTCAGAAATCAAAGTTCCCAGGGAATATTATCATAAATGAGAACCTTTCTGTCATTATTAAATTAACACATAAATCATATTTTTTGTTAAAAGAGCCTTTTACCTGTATGTACTGATTTATTAAAACAGCACTTAAAAAACTTTAGGAAGGTATCTTAAACTGTGGCTTAATAAAAGTTATCAGAATTCTTGAGCATGTACTCCGTTTCTCAGTTTACATTTTGAGTAGTGCCTAAGCTCCTTTACTAGGAAAGATTTAGCCTCTGAGAGGAATTTTTTAGTAAAAATTAAGTAATGTCCTAATTTTGATTTCTGTGGCTGGCGCTGGCAGACAATACCAAGCACTAGACAACTCCGCGAAGCGTAGGCAACCAGTCAGTCATGGAAATTTATGCTCATCGATTTTATTACCATGAAGTACCAACCGCAACAAAAAGTTACTGCGGAAGAGTAATAGTCAATAATTTAATCGAGTGAGAAATTTTCTTGAAAATGTAAATTTCCTAGTATTTCAGGAATCAGTATAAGGAAGGAAGATTGCATGTTCTATTATTCGCATAATTTTACGATCGTTGTAAATTTCCTGGAATTTTTGCTGCCTGATCGTGTGCAAAGAAAGTTTTCACTTGTCTGGAGGCAAACTTGTGGCTTCTGTTGTGATTCGTCTGTGTCTGTTGTCTGTTGTCAATTTCGCCGTTTGCTCTCGACGAAATTTTTAATACTTTTTCTCTAATGTTTCAATCAGATTTTAAAGTTCGACTGTAGTATTTTCTTAATTACAAGAATAAGTTTTTCTCTGCTAGTGTCATTCTGTTTTACCCGTGACTTAATTAGTGCTGGAACTATGATTCAGAACAGTCAGCCTGTGCTTTTCAGGAATTTGACAAGAACGTAGTTTCGTGTGATTTTGAACCCGATTCAAAGTAATTTCTCTTTAATTATTCTTTCTACTACCTAAAATTGAGTTTTTGACGCCCTCCGAATGTTAAATTTCCTCGCCTGACCAAATTCTTTAGCTTTCGCGCCGAAACCTCGGTGGAATTTGAATCGATAACAGTGACCGTTTTCCCTCCAATATTTTGGTTACAATTTCAAAATAATACCTGTCTTTTCAAATTTTAATCGGCCGTTTTATGAATTTTCTTGTAAGTTAGATCAAATTTTACTCTCTGAAGTCATTCGGATCGCTTCAGAGTGTAGTTAGAAACAGTTTTATCTCCTCGAAAGTTTTCATTTTAAACTATGGTTGCTCAATCCTGTGGCACCATTCCAATGCATATCTGCATCAATCCATCACATTATTCTTATCATCATTCTCAGACTTTGAATTATTTTCCATTAATGTTACTTCGCGTGAGTGTCATTAAAATCGACCGTATCATAGCAACTCTCTTCTCTGTCCAGACTTTGTTTGTAAGCACATGAGAGGAGATTGAAGCTGTTATTCCCACTTACTTCCTATCTTTAGCAATGCTATCTGTGTGCTGTGACAGACGACGGATTTCGGAGCAAATGAAACTTATCAAATTGCACAACTGAACTTGCCTCCGAACCAGCTCCGGTACCAGTTCGCTTAGCTGCCTAAATTTCCTTACTTTTGATCACTTTCAGGTTTTGCTAAAGAATCTTTCCCTGTCAGTCATATTTTCAAGTCATATTTTGTCATGCTACCAGTATCCCAGAATGCGAACGTGCATCTGAAGAACTTCTTCTTTCTCTTAGCTTTGCCGGACATTAAACAATTTTATTCATCCATGTTTATCCGTCTGGCATTAACATTCAAATCTACTTAAACCCTGAAAGTGAATTCACATAAAATTGAATCCAGGTTCTGGGTTTTTGTAAAAGGGCGCTCGTTCGGTTGTCTTTATCATGATTCTTCCTGTTTTGCCCAAAGCAACACCTAGTTATATCTCTAGATTACAATGAGAATAACACTAAATTGTGGCTCTATCAAGCTTAGAAAGACACAGTGTTGATATCAGTGATTCAAACTTTTACCCTCGCCATTTATTTCTATTATTTTGTTTTTACCGAAGTCATGCAAACCTGAAGGGTGCAGGAACTTTCTGACCGCATGACGAATGATGTAAGGCTAGGAGTGTGTAAGATGGGTAAATTAGCGTGTTATTTTTTTTTTGTACATAAGCAGCAATTCTGTATTTACAAGTACCTAAGGAGCAAGCGGTAGAGACTTGCAAGCCAATGTTTTCCAAATTTTGGGGATAAGGGGCCTCAAAAATAGGCAGAAACTTGCATCCCTAAATGGTATTACTTATCCATCATCATCTTTAACTTTTAACCCATGACTTTTCACTGCGTAAATTTTAGAAAAATTAATTTTTACTTAATTATCAGTGTATTTATGAATCATTTCTCTCTACTTAATGAGTGTAACTGGTTTCAAGTTTTCAATGAGAACATCCTGTTGAAGTCTATGTCATCAAGGAAGCTATTAATTTTAACTTTCTTTTCTCTCTTTTTCAGCTGCATATCTTTCACTGTCCAGTCACATAAACCATAACCATTTTGTCCCTCACGGATATTCAGTCTGCCGAAAACATGGTTGTTGCCTGTGGTCAGGAGACGGAAGAGGCGGAAATTGAAGATGAAGAGGAGTGGGAGTTTGATCCCTATCTCTTCATCAAACTGCTTCCACCCCTCACCCTGGAAATGCGAGTACGCTGTCCTGCCCTTCCTCTGAAAACACGGAGCAGTCCTGAATTTACTTTGGTTCTAGATTTGGTAAGTTTGCATCGCCAAGTTACTGATATTTTACTCTTCTAACTCAAGGTGATTTGGCAAGCTAAAGTGACGTGGTCAAACTGGCATGCGATATATCGCATTGATTAGGTAAAGAATCTAGGCAGATTTTGAATTTTTAGCAAAGAAAAGGACGATAGCCCCTACGCATAAGCCTAAAGAATCATTCTAGGTAAATCCAAAAATCAGCAAAATTCAGAGGAATGGAAGCAGAATAGTGTCTGGAAAAAAAACTTGCATTCGATTCAGCTATTGATTTTTGCATCAAATGCGGAGCACGATTGTACTAATGGGAGTTGAAAACCCTTACCTAGATGTCAATTTAAGATTATGTCCTGTGGTCAATGAAAGTTGCTGCAAAAATAGCTAGTGTTCATTAACACAATTTTTCCTGTGTGTATACAAATTATTTATTCAAACGTGTACTTATTACCATTTCAGGATGAAACATTGGTGCATTGCAGTATTGACTACATGCCTGATGCCGCCTTTTCATTTGGAGTAGAAATTCAGAACACCAGTCACACGGTTTTTGTACGCACGCGACCGTATTACAAAGAGTTCCTTGAGCGTGTTTCGGAGCTGTTCGAAGTTATAATTTTCACCGCCTCCAAACCTGAATATGCCAACAAACTGCTCAACAGGATTGATCCTTCCCGACAATTAATCAAGTTAGTTTTTTTTTCAGTTATACGCATCTCTCTCCCAATTTCCAGCAATTCTGATTTGCTGTAATTTATTTTTGGCACTTTATAACATTTCCCAGCAAGTCAAAAGTCTATTTTTCTAGTTAAAGGGTCAGCTTTTTTTAACTGACTGAGGGGACAAAGCTTCTAACTTCCGCAAGTACCCAAAACTCTTGTAGGGCGGATTAAAGCAGGAATCGTGGTTTAATGTAAACCAAGGAACCGTTCCAGTAGACCGACCAACTACAGTCAATCGTTGTTAAAAAAAATAGCCAACTGAATACTGACTCATCTTATTGTGTGTCTAACTATCCACAGTTGCGCTTACTGGATTTGTATGCTTGTGTTTTGATCCGAAAGACCTTTTATCCCTATTCTTTCTGCCCGAGAAGACACTTTTTACACTTAACTTTTAACACTGATTTCGTCCTAAATACTGTTCCTATTTAATTACAAAATTTTCACTCACTATCTCAAAAACCTCTTGGGATAAATATCACTATTGCGCATAAACGTCAAAACAATGTCTCCATGTCAAACAAACTGTGGTTGACCTAAGTTGATTACGGGGCACAAAATTTTGAAAAAACCTTGTCCGTATAGCTGCCACTTCAACCATAGTTGTCCTCCTAAAGGAATGGGAAAATCATTTCAGTTTACATTAGAAAGTTGATGGATTTTTTCTGTGACCAGTCTTTTTTCCTCTTTTTTGAAATCGTCCTTCATCCTTAAACGTAGTGTAGTAGCTAACACCTGTATATAAAGTAGTGTACTCAGTGCTTTCACCAGTTGCCTAGCTGAGGCCCAATAGGAATGAGTGTTTGCTTTGCTTTGCTTATTTATAATGCATTTTTAATTTTTAATGCTTGAATACTTTTCTTTCTGGCATATCTACTTTGCCTTCGGTGCTGCACAGTAATCTAGGGTGAAGCAAAAGTAGAGAAGTTTTAGTCGACGCCTGCATGTCATTTTAGCATATGATGAAAATGGAAGAAGAAAAAGTATAGAGGAAATAGAAGGAAGATTTGTAGACAAGGAGGCGGAACACGTAGCTGAGATGGGTTATTCAGGGTTCCAAGCGATGGGAATAACCGGTGTGTCATTTATTTTGCTTCAATAAGTTGAGTTTAATGTTTTTTGTAAGTTCAACGTGTTCTTCGTGAAATTTTGATGAGATATCAATTAAGAGCTGTTGTGCTTAATTTTTACCCGGTTCAGTGGTCTGTTGTATTTTTCATTTCCTTTGCCATGCTTGTAATTTTTTTTCCTAAAACTGATTGCAGTGGACGCACAGGTCGTAAGACAGTATGTTGGAGTTTTTTGCTAACGTGCATTAAAAAGGGGAATGAATTTTTAATGCACGTTGGCAAAAACCGCCAACATATCGTAATTTTTTTTCTCTTCTCTGCGTGGCTTACAGTAATTATTTGCTTTCTTTTTTAGGTATGCAGTTTAATGATTTTATCAATCTGCCTAATTTACCTATTTGATATTAGCTTTGCTATGTCCACAAATTTGATCTAATTTCAAATAAGTTTGTGTTTGAAAGAACAATCGGGTGTGTTTTTTGTGCTTTTTACTCTTTATCTCGGTTGTCTCGTTGATGATGAAACCAAAGTATTGAAGACCTCTGTGCATGTATGCGTAGGTATCTGCTGTCTTTCTCTCTCTATATATTTCTTCATTATTTTGCGTTTTTACAAAGGCATTTGGACATAATAATGGACCACTAGACAAGGTACGAATTTCAGCATTCTGATACATGTTTCTTAACCAAAATTTCACGTAGAACCCGATGCGCACATCGAAAATTACCGAAATCAACTCCTTACGAAGATATTTAATGATTCCTGATGCGTGAATTCAAACCATCCGCTCATGAAAACTCAATGCTCTACGTGATTTACATCGAGCGCTAAACATTATCATGACAGTCTCTGCGATATAAAAATCTGGCAACCTCGATCTTGACGCTTTGGCTCAGCTATGGAAAATTACTTATAGTTTGAAAAACACATGGTGGGAAATTAACATCACTCGTTTTAGAAGCTTGCTGAAACCGTTGTAGTGCGCGATTTGACTCACGTAGAGCTTTGAGTTTCTTGTCAGCGGGCAGTTCAAATTCCTCGTGACCAATGTGTAATAAAAACGTTAATATCTTCGTTAGGAGTTGGTTTCAGTAATTTTCGTTGTAAGAATCGTGTTTAACGTAAAATTCTGGTTAAGAAACATGTATCATATTTCTTAAATTCGTACCTTGTCTAGTGGTCCATTGTCGTATTTATAATTTGCAATTCTGAAGTTATTTTTCCTTATTATACTTGTATATACAGGATGCAATCATGAGGTTTCATTTTTAGAGCCCATGTATTTTGAAATACTTAGCGCATCACTGTATGAAACGGAGTCAACTTCCAAACTCATAACGTTTAACATTCCAAGTCTTCCCTCAAATGCTTTTAGCGGATTAGCCTCCCCATTTCAACAAAAATTCATGATTAGCTCCCTTTGAAGAGAAGGAAAAATCCCTGTCTTCCGAAAATTTTGCTTATTTTCACAGAAGCTACCCATATCACACTACTGGGCCAGTCATATAGTTGGAAAGTTTTTGGACCCTTGTATAATGTAATTACGCCCTTGCCAAAGTAAAGGTTGTTATCAGTAAGCTTTAAATATCCCTGTGTATAGGAATAAATGAAGCATTATCTTCAGTAAGATTTTGTGCATCACAATAGTCGTTTCAGTACCAAAGTATATAAGGTCTTTCTTTTTTTTTTTTTGTCATTGCATTCGGTCTTTCTCAATGCAGTGCATCCTAATTGAATGACTTTTCTTGCCTAGATTGCGTACTTAGTTTTGCATGCTTACACTTATCAACTCACGATATATATTGTTCATACCATTAAACTGTGTGTATGCAAGCAGATGATATGAAAAAGCCATTTTTATCTCAAATCTTCCTTGAGATTGGTTAGAGCTAATTTACCAGCCCCGAAACATACCCACAAAAATTGTCAATAGCTACTTCGTTTCCAATTGCTAAAAGAAAATGAGCTGTTGAAAAAAAAAAAAAAAAATTGGCAAGTGATAAAACAAAACTGTTGCAATCATCTGGGGAAGAAATGTGACTGCACTAGTTCTTGATTTTATCTTTAGTGGTGATATCAGTTAATGATGCCTTATTCAATCACTGTTTAATCTAAAGTTAAAAAGTTAAAATTATGAAGGAAACTCATGTGCACAAAATAAATCGAAAAAAGGTTGGACCGGTTTTAAGTCTTGCTTTCACCTTCAGCGATGACAGCGACCCATGGATCGCTGGATATTAGAGTAAGTCCTGAAACCAGTTTGCTCCATTTATAATTTACATGTGCAAGTGAGTCTCTTTAGCAATTTATTTTAAATTTTAACGTTTGACACATCTTGTTTAGTCCTTATGACGTTCTTATTCAAACCATCTGGTCTGAATACAAGAACCATTCAATCAACCTCTCCTTTCATCTGCTTATTGAAATGTTTTTTCTTTTTCAATTTTTAGATACCGGCTGTTTCGAGAACATTGCGTATTTGTTCATGGTGCTTATGTGAAAGACCTTTCAATTTTGAACCGAGATCTTTCAAAAACAATAATAATTGACAATTCTCCGCAGGCCTTTGGTTATCAGGTAATTTCTAGTCATTTATGTCATAACACCCTCCCCCCCTCATATGATTCTAAGTGCAGTAGAATTTATTCTGCTTTGATATCATTTGAAGAAGCTTTAACAGGTTAAAAAAGAAAGTTTTCATTAGTTTCAAAATAAAAAAGTTCCTTCAGACAGCAAATCAGGCTCTACATTGTGACACGTTACTGAAGTTAGCCAAGGTGCAAAACGATGTATGTCCCTTTGTGATGCTGTTAACTACCTCTCATTCTTTTATTTTTTCTTTTGAAAGCAGTCAAAGTAATTTCTTGAAAGCTTTCTTGATTTTTCCTCCTCATTTTCAGAATGCTCCAGTACAAATTTTACGTTATAATGTTGACTTCTTTCTTGTCGAAAAATAAACAAGGAGTTGAAATTTTGAAACTCTGTGATGGAGACACATGGTTTTGCTCTTTTGCTAAGGCTAAGGTGGAAAATTTTCCAAGCTACCATATTTTCATGCCTGCCTACTGGCTTGTCAAATTGTTCTTGTTATTGGCTTTCCAAAAAACGTCCATCAATTTCAAAAGCGATGCAAAAGCGACCTTTCTTTTCTTTTTTCATTTAATTTTCGACCTTGGATTTCTAAAAATGTTCTTATTTCCTCATTTTCAAGTCCCTCTTTACATTTGTACGCATCCCTGTATAATGTAGCTCACCCTCCTCTCTATTATCTTCATCTGTCTCCCTATTTTACAGTATTTTAATGATTAGGATAAAGGTTTTTTTTTTTTTTTTTTTTTAACAGGATTCCAAGGAAAAGTCCTAAGTTTCTTTCTTTCTTCCCTTTTTTTTTTTTTTTTTGAATTTGCAGAAGAATAATTGGAAAGAAAGACTAAAAATCAATTTCATAGGTACGATGGTCAAACTTTTTTTAAAAAAAAGAACAAAAACAAACAAACAAACCGAGGCTCCTTGAGTTTTCTCAACCATTTCAAGCTTAACCAAAAAACAAAACAAAAAAACCAGAAATTTCCTCATTTATTTTCCTCTGATTAATTTGTGACTCCCATTTGAAATTATTTTCTCCTAAAAGAAATTTGACAAGTATTCTCTTCCTATATTTCAGATGGAAAACGGAATCCATATCGAAAGTTGGTTTTTTGATCAAAATGATGATGAACTGATAAAACTTCTTCCATTTTTGGAAAACATAGCATTGTGTGTAAGTACTCTTTTCCTGATTTTAGATCAACTAGTTCAACAGCGTCTGTTGCCAGCCTCAGAAACTATTCCAGGGTGTCTGCAGGTCTGGAAAACCGGGAAAAATCAGGGAATTTGACCGAAAACCGGTGAAAGTCAGGGAATTTTCGCAATTCGAACATTTCGCGGCTATTTTCGCTCGTCACTGCCGAATTGGCCGAATAGCGCGCTCGCGTGGCTGATAATGTAAACTGCTCTGTTCAACCAGTTTGCAACACGGCCGCTAGGTTCACTAATGTGTGTTCGCTAACTTTTAAGATCGAATCGATCCGCCCTATTTAATTTATCTACTTAATTCATGCCAAATGGCAAAATAGACTAAATAGACTTGGATGAAGTTAACTTGCTAACAGCAGAAAATTACAGTAAATAATGATAGGAAACTAAGTGCCCCAGTTTTGAGCAGATGGTTAATCAATCTTTTCAATAAGTCAGGAAATTTAATGAAAGTGCTAGAATTTTAGTTTTTCTTTAACTGAGTAAAGAAATATTTAATGTCAACTGCATTTTGCATGAAATTTTTCTGGTTCTTAAATCAACATGTTCACAACTGGTGCATCCACCTTGTAGAAATATTATTGGTGGATTATATTCTAACAAGCCAACGCTTGTTGAGTATAAGAAAAATTCAATACCCACAATAGGTTCTGGAATCCATTGAATAAAAAAAAAAAAAAAAAAAAAACCCCGAATCAATTAAATTTATCTGAAATCGAGAAGAGACTTGTATTTCCTCTTGATTATATCAAAATCTACCTGAGTTAGGCACATTTACAACTCTTGTTTTATATTTTAAGAAAAAGAGACTTGTATTTTCAGGGCACTAAGTAATATGCCAATATTTATGAAACCACCAGGGTGAACTATAGTTTGAATTTTCAAAAGTTTACGGGGCAATATGTCACAAAGAGAGCGTGGTAGAGCTTAAAAATTAAATTTTGAAGGTGAATTTTAGACTGAGTATACCATTTTGGAATTAGCTTTATTTTGAGTATTTAGGATCTCGTTCCTTTCAAAAGTATTACTCAACTCCTTCCAACGCCATGGTAATTCAGAATATGACTTTACAGGGTCATTCCTAAGTATAGTTTTTTTTAATATTTTCTAACTAGTTCATCGTATGGCTAAACCCAAAAACTCAGGGGATTTTGTCATTTTTTGTCATGGAAAACCTGGAATTGTCAGGGAATTTGCTTTTGAAAATCTTGTAGACACCCTGCTCAACGAATGTCTTATTTTTAATCATTCTTGTCACGAAAGGTAAATACAGTTTTTCTAAAGAATTTCCGCAGATTTCCTTCGCCGCAAAAGGATTGCGGCGATTTTAGCGGCGCGCCAGCCTGGGAGATCGCACGGGACGGGACCCGAGTAATTGCTGGAGTGTGGCGCGCCCACAATCCGGCTGGCAGCAACATGCTTACACCCGTGGTCGAATAGTTGTATCACTGCGCCTGCCGTGAATGAGTTCAAATATCCTATCCTGCACGTGTGAGGAAGCGTATTTAGCTCCGATTGCAACGTTACACACCTCAACTAATGTCTTATTTTTAGTCATTCTCGTCACAAAAGGCAAATACAGTTTTTCTAAAGAAATACCGCGGATTTTCTTCAGTCGCCGGAAATTTTGACGCAATATTTTCGCTCGTTTCATACCTTATTTGAAAAAAAAATGAATTTAATAAACCCAATCCGAGATTTTGAATCGTTCCAATTCAGGGATACACTTTCACTCAAATTGTGGTAAAACGGGACAGAGATTCAAGGATTATGACGTGCAGTCCTCCCTTTGCGGCGATTTTAGCGGCGCGCCAGCCTGGGAGATCGCTCGGGACGGGACCCGAGTAATTGCTGGAGTGTGGCGCGCCTTCAATCCGGCTGGCAGCAACATGCTTACACCCGTGGTCGAATAGTCGTATCACTGCGCCTGCCGTGAATGAGTTCAAATATCCTTTCTTGCACGCGTAAGGAAGCGTATTTAGCTCCGATTGCAACGTTACACACCTCAACTAATGTCTCATTTTTAATCATTCTTGTCGCGAAAGGCAAATACAGTTTTTATAAAGAATTTCCGCGGATTTCCTTCAGTCGCCAGAAATTTTGACGCAATATTTTCGCTCGTTTCATACCTCATTTTAAGTTAAGTGATTTTAAGTAACCCAATCCGAGATTCTGAATCGTTCTCATTCAGGCGTACACTTTCTTTCAAATTGTGGTGAAAACGGGACAGAGAGTCAAGGATAATGACGTGCAGACCTCCCTCTGCGGCGATTTTAGGGGCGCGCCAGCCTGGGAGATCGCACGAGACGGGACCCGAGTAATTCCTGGAGTGTGGCGCGCCTTCAATCCGGCTGGCAGCAACATGCTTACACTCGTGGTCGAATAGTCGTATCACTGCGCCTGCCGTGAATGAGTTCAAATATCCTGCCCTGCACGCGTAAGGAAGCGTATTTAGCTCCGGTTGCAACGTTACAGACCTGAACTAATGTCTCATTTCTAATCATTCTTGCCACGAAAGGCGAATACAGTTTTTCTAAAAAATTTCGGAAAGAATATTTTTGATAAAGAATTTTTTTAAAAACGGGACGGAGAGTCAAGTATAATGACGTGCAGTCCTCCCTTTGCGGCGATTTTAGCGGCGCGCCAGCCAGAAAGATCGCACTATAGGCAAATACTGTTTTTATAAAGAATTTCCGCGGATTTTCTTCAGTCGCCGGAAATTTTGACGCAATATTTTCGCTCGTTTCATACCTCATTTTAAAAAAAATGAATTTAATAAACCCAATCCTAGATTCTGAATCGTTTCAATCAGGGATACACTATCACTCAAATTGTGGTAAAAACGGGACAGAGAGTCAAGGATAATGACGTGCAGTCCTCCGTTTGCGGCGATGTTAGCGGCGCGCCAGCCTGGGAGATCGCACGGGACGGGACCCGAGTAATTGCTGGAGTGTGGCGCGCCTTCAATCCGGCTGGCAGCAACATGCGTACACCCGTGGTCGAATAGTTGTATCACTGCGCCTGCCATGAGTTCAAATATCCTTTCCTTCACGCGTAAGGAAGCGTATTCAGCTCCGATTGCAACGTTACAGACCTCATTCACTTAAACCGTTTATAACATCATTAATTTCAAACCGTATTGTTTGATTCTCCAACCTCGTGTTTTTGAGAGTATTAAAAGCGTTTTGTATCACAAACTGAGAATCCATTTCTCTGATCTCAAGTCATTACTGACAACCGGAAGTGCTGAATCATTTTTTTTTTGTTAGAAGTACTGAAAAATTTCAGTTTCTACCTTCAAATATCTTTTGCCTAACTCAATCACCAATTCAAAACAGTCAATTGAAATTGCACCAGCAGATCTAAACACATCTGAATTTTCATTAAATCATCTCGTTTTCCCTTTTTTTTTTTTTTTTTTTTTTTTAAAGTAGAAGATAAGCCAGATACTCAAGTGCAGTACCAATCTGTCACCAACAAAATGAGTCACTGCATTTTAAATCGGACATATTTCTGCAAAGAGGGAACTATGCAAAAATGAATTATATGCCTAGGATTGAGAAGTTACATGATTCCTTTTGTTTTCATTCACCCGCACTTAGTTTCTTTTAGCTTAAACATGTCCAACTGTCCATCTCTATTTATGATAAAGTAATAGATGTTCTAGATGGATTGCATTTAGCAGAAGGGAACTGACGCATTACAATGTTGTAAAAATCATGAATCTTTATCTTTATCCGAGAAAACCCTTGAATGGAGATGTTGTATGTGTGAGGGATTTGCAGTTTGACCATTGATACTTATGTAAAAGTTTGCGAGAAACACGATGGTGCCACTGGTTTTCTCTGAAATCACTTCCCAAGCTCAAAAAAAAAGCTCTCAAAGTGAGGCCAAAATGGAGGGGATATCCCACCCTATTCTGAGAGTCCACCTCTACATCAAAACAAACTCCCCATGCAAAGATAGGAAGCAAATACATTGACAGGGCTGCCACTTTATTTGGGGACTCCAAAACTGAAAACAGGCCAACCCTGATAATGTATTTGCTTCCTATCTTTGCATGGAGACTTTGGTTTGATGTAGCGGTAGACTCTTAGGGTAGGGTGGGATATCCCCTCCATTTTGGCCTCAACTTGAGAGCTTTTTTGAGCTTGGGAGATAATTTCAGAGAAAACCAGTGGCACCATCATGTCTCTCGCGAACTTTTACATAAGAATCAATGGTCAAATCGCAAAACTCTTACACATGCAACATCTCCATTGCAAACAGTTTTTGTTTTTCAATTGAAAAATTCTTAATTATTAAGGAAAACGATTGTGCCAATTGTATAACTGTACCTATAAATATTTTTTTTCTTCTCCTTTTTTTTTTTACTGCAAAGAGTGTCACAATTTTGAAAACACTGCAATCTTGTTTAATCCTTTGTTCTGAATGTGGTCAAAATCAAGGAATGTCTTTCCTGAACAAATTTGACAAATTTCTTATTATGTCTGAAGTAATTGGCTGGAATGAAAATTCCAAGTTTTGACGTTGAGTTATATTTTGTGGGCAAGAAGTTTTTCTGTGAACTCTCTAAATGTGCGTATCATCCTGTAAGATTTCCTTCGTAATTTTTCCCATTGATATACTTATTGCTGCTCTTCTAAATTTCAGAATCAACAAGATGTGCGGCCCCTCATTCGAGAGAGATTCAATCTGTTCCGGTTCCTTCCTCCTGACCCAGAGTAAGTATAAATTTAAAGTATATAATTGATTACCAAACAGGGTTAGACAAGGGTACTTCGACGCATGTTTCCTCATTTAAATGCCACACAGAACACATCAGAAACATTGAAAGTTTTCAATTTCAATTCATGAGTGGAAAATCAGTAATACAGAAATGTCTCATCCTTCCCATTTTTCAAATTGACCTACCGATTTTAGAACCCCTTTCCCCTCAAAAGATCTTTAGTGATTATTTTCTTTGCTTCTTACCCATCTATTACCACAGTTTTGACAAAGAAAAATTTGCAATTTTCACCGTGATTTTTTACCAAAAGAGCGATTCTTATAGCTTAACATTGTGAAAAATACGTAATTTTTCATTTTCATACTGGCCTTCCCGTTTTTAAAATCTGCTCTCAAAGCCCTCTCATTTTTATTAAGTATAATACTCGCATTTTAGCATTTGCATGACCAAGAAGTTTTTGCACCCCTGGCATTAAGGTGAATCCTCTGGGACTCATAGTGCTAAATTTCGCCATACAGAGGATACCACCGCTGTGTTATGATTTTTGTTATTATGGTTCAAAACTCATTTCGGGTTTCACACATCTTGCTGTTAATTTTATAAGTCTTAGAATGTAATATATCTGTCATGTCATTAAAATCATAATTGCTAATTTCTGAGCCACATTATAGCAAAGCGTGTTTTTAGTGTATTTTCCGAAGGAAATACACTATTGCATTCTCCCATGATGTCGGACCCAGACCCGAGACCTTGTGAAGAGCATCGATCACGGGTCGTAGATCACGAAAATATATGCCATTCAAATTCATGTGTATATATATATGTATGTATATATGTATGTAGTTAGTTAGTTAGTTATTATAATTTTGAGACATTCAGCGACTCAGGCTATTAACGTCTTTACAGGTAATTTTGAAAATATATAGGAGTATAAACGAAAATTTAGATTTTTAAATTAAGAGATGTAAAGAGTTTCAGAATTTTGGTGGCAATATTAGGTTCATCGCATGTAAGAGGGTTTGTATTTCTGTTGAATGAAGGGGAGTAGATCTGTGATTGGTGATGTCGGAGGGAAGAGCAGTCCATAAGTATGTGTTTGATGGTTAGAGGTGATGAATTGCAGAAGTGGCAGGTGGGTTGGTTTTCTTTAGATATGATATGATAGTGAGTGAAAAAAGTGTGACCTATCCTGAGACGCGCAATTTGGACTTCACATGATCTTGATTTGTGGTTAGATGTTCTTGGATATGGCATGGGGGCTCTACGGAGACGATTCTGTTCACTTGTGCTCCATTCTTGTTCCCACGATTTTGTGATAAGTTCGCACATAGCTTTTTTAGCATCTTGCTGAGTGAATGGATGGTGAGTGATGTTCTGCAAAGAGCATGCTTCAGTGGCTGCTCTGTCCGCTGTTTCGTTTCCCAGAATTCCTATATGAGCCGGTACCCAGATAAAAGAGGTGGAGTGGCCATTGGCCAATAAGGAATGAACAGTATCATGGATTAACATTGAAAAGGGATGATTAGTAGGGTTGTATTTCAAGGTGCGGAGTGAGGAAAGAGAGTCAGAGCATATGACGTAATTGATGGTATCATTGTTACAGGAACTAAGTTCTTGTACATATCTAATT